CCTGAACCTACACTGTGGTGCTGTGGTGCTCCACTGAAACCTGGCAGAGAGCGATCGCCAACGTTTTGTTCTTTGTTGTTTTTGACATGACCAAAAACTGTAGTACTGTTTGTAGCATCCAAAACACGTGATGTCACGATGCAGCAATTTAATAGTGATGAAGAAGAAAAACATTTTAGAGACACTAAAAGATTTGCCTTGGTTTAAAATATGGATGATGAATGTTCAGCCGTCTAACACAGCATTCAAATCCAACACAACCGTGAATAAAGACACAGTTGCTCTATTTTAGTGGACAAGCTAGTTCAATATCAGACAAATAGAGACAGAATGAGAGAGAGTTTGTTTGAATGGGGAGGTGTTGTGGCTACAGCAGTTAGACATCTGCATCCGTTTGAACTATTACACAATATATAAGAATGCATTCAGTCTGATGAGGTGGTGGTTTTGTGTTGTTTCTAGTCAGGGAGTCATTTCAGATGCCTGTGATTTTCTGTAGTAAATCTGGTTCTAATCTATACTTGACTTGAGGCGTCACTTTCATCAGTCTGCTCTATCAGAGAAAAACATTCCTGTGATGAAAGACTAAACTAAACATCCATGCAGTTGCACATATATCCATGATGACATTGCTGACTCGATGGTGCAGAGCCTGAGGACACGAGTGAATCAAATAAGCACTCGATAGTTAAATGGCTTACCTGCATGTTTTCTCTGAGGTCTGTCGCCTCCCTCAGCGGCAGCATGGCTGTTTTGAAGACGTCGTCCACAGCCTTGATCAATAGCACTCTCATGCTGGCGTACTCTCGACTCCTCTTGCCTTTTCGTACAGACAGTCCCCTTTTGTGCGGTTTGCCGCCTCCTCTTCGATTGGTTATGGCCACATGAACAAACAGCAAGGTATGAGGTAAAACTTCCCCCGTCAGAGACTGCAGCGGCACATGGCGGAAACCCGGCTGGAGACACTCGAAGGGGATCGTGTACTGGCCAATAAATTCATCGCCAATGTAGTCGTCATCCAGCACAACAAAGCGCACCATCGCGAGCTCTGGGAGGTTTATCTGAAACTCAAAGCTCTCGTCAAACAGAGGGTTGTCTCCGTTCTGGTTGACGGTTTTAGTCCTTTGCTCGGCACAGTCAGCAGGAATCCCGTGTATTTCCACGTACACATACGGGTCGACCACATCTCCTTTGGCACCTGAGCCTTTGGGTTTGGGGAAGTTTTGTCCACTGATGATCTTGATGTGTAAGAGCTGTGGAGAAACACCAGGCACTGAATCTTTAGTGTTGGCACTAAAATATGACACCTGCTCCCTCATGATTGCCGGACGCAGCACGTAGCCACAGTTTCCATTCTGACGGAACCAGCCGATGTTTAAATCCATCATCAGACCAGGAGTCTGGTAGTTCATGGCCACAATCTGACAGCCACACTTCCAGAAATCTTGTGGATTCATGTTGCTGGAGTCGATCCGCATGGGGCTCGGGTAAACTCGTGCCAGGAACTTCTTGTTATAGTTAACAAAATCGCCTGGGAAGTCACTGGCGCAGCGACTGGCAAAGACCTCGTTGAAAGAGCAGAGCTCCCAGTGCTTCTGGCTCTGGAAGGATGTTGGGAAGTCTTTGAACTCCACAGATTTACACAAGGTCACGAGATCAGAGAGGTCCTTCGACAGCTGGAATTTCTTGGGTGCGATAGTCTGCTGCTCTGCAGACTCGATGCTCATCCTCTGAGACATCTCTGCCCCCTCATCCTCATCCGTCACCTCACCTTCTGAGGCCGTGCAGTTGGTGCTCAGTTTCTTACCCTTCAGCAGGATCTTCCCCTTCAGTTCAGAGGGAGAGGGGAGGTAACAGTCCTCTGGTTTTGGAGGATCTATGTGGATCTTGTCTCCAAGGATCTTCTTCAGGTGCTGAAACATGACTCTCTGCTGCTTTAAGGAGCAGTGGTTTTCTAAACACAGTATCAGTGGAAACTCAGAGGCAACGAAGGCATACTTGTTGATGACGTCAATGACGCTGCGAAAAACTATCTGTGAGGTCATCGTGTGACCAGTGTAGATCACAGGTTCATTATCTGGCCCATCCCACACATCCAGCTCCACGCTGCGGCAGCCCATCTTCAGGGCACGGATATACCCCGTCACGTCAGAGGGACCTCTGAACTGGTCCTCTATCAGGTATGTGTTGTGGGATGCATTGATGTAGTAGTGGGATAAGGGCTGATTCATGTCTTGGCACGCTGACTTTTGCTCAGGGTCAAATATATGGCACTCTGGAGACATAAGATAGTTGGAGAACCCATCGAGAGAAAGCCAACCCTTGAGCTGGCCCTCTTTGGACGGCTCATATTCCTGAATGACCTCTAAGCTGGTGTCTTCGCTGACTTGTGCCATTCCCTGCTCTGCCTCCAGGAATATCATCAAGTCCTTGCTATCGAGAAATTCTTTGTTACTTGAGAACTGAACGAAGAGAAAATAAATTTCCGGTCTGGTGCAGAGATCGTGAAAGACTTCGATGAACTCCTCTTTTGTCACGTCAGAACCTGATTTGTCCTTTGCTTTGTGAAGCTCCTTGAATTTCAGTTCTATTTTCACATTTTTAAGTCCCGGGTTCAACTTCTTGACCAGCTGCACAGCAGCACATATTGTTATCTGTTTGCTGTTGTTACCGTCCTCCTCATCAAAGAGCTCACCGAGCCAAGACGAGCGCATATTGTTCTGACTGCTCTCAATCATGTTTAAGGTATGTTTCCCATAGGAGATCAGGTACCTCAAGCCTGTAACCCATATGTTGGCTACATCTGCAGTGTTTGCCACCAAGTCCAGGGACTCATAGTTCTCCCCAAAGATGATAGAGAAAGCACAGTCCTCTGATATCTGATCATAAGTTCCATTAGTTCTAAAAGTGTCTGTATTTTTCCCTGTCCGAACCTCTTTGATGGATTTTACATCAATTTTGGCCTTTTCTGACTCCTTCTTTGAAGGCTCCCACCTCAAAGACTGCATGTCGGCATCAAGGAGAAAGTAGCGGTGGTAAATGCGTGAATTAGACCGAACTTTCTTCAGCTCAGAGCCGTCCACCATGGCACTGATGCAATCGCTTGCACTGCTAATCTTCTTCTCAGTGGGCATGCTGCTGAACGAGACAGTCTTCTTTCTCTCTTTACGCTGCCTTCCATCCTGCAGAGAAACAGAAAAACACTGCATCAATAAAACCCTGTCATACATCGTGGATAACAGTCAGAATTATGAGATTTACACTCAGCAATTAAAGACGTTGATTTGAGACATTCAGTGAAAACCTTAAAACTTGGTGAGTTTTTAAAGTTTTAACTTTAAAAATGAATCTAATGGAGTTCTTCTTGGTTCCAGTTAACGTTCAGAAACAGGGTTTAGTGTCACATCATGAGCTTCACAGTCAGAACAGAACAGAGGACATGTCTGATGCACATCTACAGCACAAGAAAAAAAACAAAAGACCGACTGGGCTCAAAAAAGAAAGTCCTAAGTTCACACATGTGGTACTTTGGCTGAGGAGAAGCACAGTCCTGGTGTTCCTTCATGCTCACACAAAGACCAGTCTACTGGTACATCTGGTGAACGAAGGCTCGGCCGTGTTTTATGCACAAATCAATTACAGAAAAAAAAAACACTGCTGACTCTTTGTGTTTGTTTTTGTTACCCCAACTAAACAGATTTAGGGCCGTTATCTATTCATCTAACTTCAGCTTCAGTGACCACAGCAGGTTTTATTGTTTTGTATTATTTCCAAAGGCCTATTTTTCTCCTTCATAATAGGATTGAGGACTTTCAAATTAAAAGCACCAAACAGTGGCAGATCTCTCCTACAAAACAATCCAACTGAGCACAAAACGCTGCGTGCTTCCGTACGCTGTTTGCATGTTACGTCTTCCTCCCTGGACCCACAGCAGCAGCTCGGCTGGGTGGCTTCAGGCACCTGTCGCTGTGTATTACAGACAGACAACAGGGAATCTCACTTAGGAGAGGATCGCCCACATAAATCCGGTCATCCACTGCAGCCACCTTTCTGACATTTTCAGTGAACCCTGCTCTTTCACTCCGGCAGCTTCCTTCAGCACGAGGACACCATTTTAGATTTTGGATTATTCAAACTCAAATGGCACCACTTTGTACGAAATAAAGGCGTCATGCACGTATATGATGTCGCAAGGTTAGGAAGCTTAACTTGGGCTGAACAACAGGGGGAAACATGTATTGCAATATGAGTCACAATTATGGTAAAGTCTCAACTAAAGAGAATTTAGAAATGAAAGCTATGTTCCCTTGTGTCTGGAAAGTATGATTTGTATGCTGAGACATCTCTGTAGCACCGCGATGATTCATTTATAATCTTGTTTTGTGGCATGTTTTACCGTTTGCCTGTGCAATGTGGATATTTCGATTTTGATAATACTTTGATTAATAGTTCAGCCCAAGAAAAAACTCTTAATCATCATGATTCATTTTCTTTTGGCATTTATTGAATTACTAAAAACCTTTACAGCCACTTACGTAATCAAACTGAGATGTGCCCTCTCGATATAATGAAGAACCAAACATTATCGGGTCAAGGACAAATGGACATCTCCCTCTCTTCACGTCACCCATCTGTGCTTTCCGCTGACAATATCTGCCCACGGTTTCTCCCATCGTCACAACACGCTACCACCACTGCTGTCGGAGGTGCACAGTGATTGGCTACGCTCGTGTTAAATCATGTGCGTACTTTTGTGGACAAGATGTAGCAAAAACATTAGCGGCTACTGACAGCTAAGTCTCAGTCAGATTGTTTATTTGTTTGCACGATTAAGATGTCACAGCAGATGACATAGAATAACAGAACTAAATGGATGTGCGCAGAGGAGGAGGGAAGCCAGGAAACCTTAAACAAAGTCTTTCCCATTATGAAAAACATCTCAAATATGAGCAAGTGAAATAATAAACATCTTATAAAACAGAAATAATAAATATCAAACAGATCCAGGGGAGCTGCCAGTAGGCGCTTCTGAAATTAAACACAGCCCAAAGCAATTATATAATCATTTTCCCAAATGAATTAATCATTATAAATCCCATCTGCGTGCTGGAGTATTGCAAAAAGCAGAGACTGACAGTTTTATCGTGACCGGAGGAATCCTGCGCTGCTCTACAAACCGCAGAGGAACCGTGTCAGATCAAATGTAAACATAACAACCCCTTCTTCTCCACAGGCTGCTGCTAAAGGTGAGTTCAGTGTATAAAGGGGAGCTTAAGGACGAAATGCATGACTGCAGATAATCCTTTTGATCTGGGCAAGAATGGGAATGTTTTGTCTTCATAGTAACGCTCCGGCCGCTGCTTACTGATGGTATGTCTGTTTCCTCCTGTCCTGCTGCCATGCCAGACATTCTCTCAGGACTTCCCTGCGCTTCCTTCAACCAAACCAGAAAACAATGCTGCCCACACCCATTTCTGTCTTTTATGTTTCCTAAGGAGAACATTTCTTATGCAACAGCCTCTGTTCTGTCAGGGTGTTGTGCTTTCGCAAGTGGTCCCTAAATGGTATTTACAGAAAAACACCACCGCCGTCAGATTGCCCATTTATAGGTATATCAGATATTTGCTTTATGCTGCACATATTCTTCTGCACACATACAGCACTTATCTACTTCTTGAAGTTCAGCAATAAACTTTATCTTTCAGGCGATTTATGATCAAGATTTTTTTTTATGAGTCATGTCAAAGCACTGATACAAGCTTCATAATAAAAATAGCTAAAGGCCCAAGTAATGTCAGCCCATTGTCTCAATTAGGATCCAACGTGCACAACATGACTCGCTGCGGTTCTGGAAAAACAGGACCGATTACAGCTTTATGGGCCCTGACTGGTGATCCAGGGTCAACAAGTCATCCGTGTAATTTGACTGGTACAGTATTAAAATTCCACAGTGCGGTATGTTCATTGTACAAGTATGAAGTGGAAAATACATTTCATAAGCACTGCTGGCTATATGCTGTGTCACCAGCAGTGATCAACAACTTCATCCAGCCTCCACTTGCAGCGTAGCCACCGCTGTGTGCTAATAAGTGCTGTCAGGACAGAGAACACTGTGTTTTCCAGGATAAACATCCAAAGCACACCGTGCTGTTAGTCATCATTCCTTAGAAACGTGTGAAACAGTATTTTTTAATACCCTGACAATCACAGGTAAAGATTTTCATTGTTGAGAGACATTCCTTGCACTGTGGCTGAACAGCGAGTGCGTTTTTCTTTTCAGACCCTGGTACATTTTAAAGGCAAGTCAGTATAACATGAAACAGATAGCAGATGTTTTCTTAGGGTTTCATAATCAAAAGATAATAACCAGGGTGTTCCCATCAGGTTCATCCTGACAGGAGAAAGAACCTTTATGCCTGTGCAGACTGTTTTAATGTACGTTTGCTGTGTGAGTGACTGTGTGTTGATGAAGTGGAGGCGACAGAGAGCGAGTCAAAGAGATGCAAACATAAGAAATGGGAATGTGAATGCAAGATGGCGAGGGAGTGACTAAGTAAGACAGAGTATATCCAACTGCTCACAGATCCCACGGGGGTCTGAATCCCCTAATGGACCCAAAACCGCATTTTTTATGGCTCAGCGAGCAGTTATGAACTGTCTGTGCAACTGAGGATGCCACATGGGACCCATTACTCTTTGCTCTACTGTTCTACCTTCATCCCCGACAACAAGCATCACCTGAATCACGCTGCAGCATAAATCACCTTTAAACTCCGGGCCTGGCTTCAATGTAAGGCGACGTAAATCAGCTCCACAAGAAGAGTTTCATGTGAATACGAATGTATGAGGCAGCCAGACTAGAACAAATGGAGCCCGTTGTTACACTCCTCCTCCAATTGAACGGTCACTGATTGAACGGACCTGATCAATTATCGCTTATCAGAACCAGCTTTAATGGCCAAGTATGTACACAACATACATGGAATCTGGTTCCGGCTGCTGGTGTCGCCCCGGGAATGAGCAAGGAAAATAACAATAAAGTAGAATAACTACAGAAAGAGAAAAAATAAAAATACATAATAATAATAATAATAATAATAATAAATACATTCAAGAATATACACATTTAGCAGAAAAAAATATATGTACAGTGGTGCAGAAAACGGCAGTGCAAACAACAATGTGAGTAGTCTGCAGTGTTATGGCTGAGAGAGGCTCAGCTGGTCAGTCCTGGTCATGATCAGTCCTGGTCCTGGTCAGCCCTGGTCCTGGTCAGCCCTGGTCATGATCAGTCCTGGTC